CTGCTGCAGATCTCACGCAGCGAGGTGACGATGCGCTGCAGGGACTCCCGGGTGACACCAACAGCCTTCCAGAACAAGGACCATTATCACAAATGTGAAAAAGTCTGACTCAGCAGCAGGGAGAAAAAGGTTGAGGGTCTGGGAAGTTTGGTGGGAGGAAGGGATCGTTACAGTGCCTACAGTGCCAACTGACAGACATTTAAGACAGCCGAGTTAACGAACACAGAAGCCATGAATGACAGCGGTGACAACCACCATCCTCCAGAGACATGTCTACACATGAAACCACGCTTACACGTGAAAAATCACGTTAACTGATCAGATGTCAAACAGCCTGCCCACTCCACAAATCAGCTGGAATCACGAGCCGGTGTCTTACCAGGGAAGAAAAAAACCACCAGGTCGCCGTCCTCAGCAGGAATTGTCAGGAAGGCGGCGGAGCTGTTAGAACAAGAGGCTGATAACACTCCTGGTGTGTATTTAAACTCACTGACCCTCTCCACTTTATCTAAACACCCTGCAAGTACATCCAGCTTCTAACGTAGCCAAGCCTGAAGTGGCCAGAGCAATTTCCCCACTCAAAACAAGGGCTCAGAGTGTTTAGTGTATTAAAAGAGAAGAATGAAGTTCAACCTGAGAGCAGATTTACGTTTCAGAGCAGCAAACGTTCACATAAGGAGAGCACAAGATCTCCCTGTCATTCAGCTCAATGTGCAACAGCAGATAAGGTTTGTGAAAGGAAAATTGGATCAAATTTGGCCACAAATGGGCAAGTTAAATCCCTCTAAATAGTCCAACCACACAGTGACAGCATCATTCAGTGCTGGCGTCAAACCTCCTCCCCCTGCCCCAATATAAACCAGTTGCACAGCGAACAGGAACAGCAGCATTTCCAGCAGAGAAGCTGCAACTCAAGAAACATCAGCAAGTGGTTTCCTTGGGGGGGGGGGGAAGAAACAACTAACAAAGGTCCAAGAGCTTCAAAACAGAGCAAATCACAGAGCAGGGCACCTTGAATACTAAAGCAAAGGACAGTGCCCTCCATCTGCCCGTGCAGCCCCCAGCACAGCAGCGTTACTGGAAGCCATGAAAATTACAGAGGAAGAGGAGGGGAGAGTATGGAGCAGGCAGAGGACGCCTCATCGAACACCCGGCTGTGCATCTGCCCCAGGAAATCCATCCAGCAGCATTCCTGGCCGTGAGAACCTACACGCTCCTGGCTTCAGAGCGAGCAGCCCCTGCCACCATCTGCCCCAGGAAATCCATCCAGCAGCATTCCTCGCCGTGAGAGCCTACACGCTCCTGGCTTCAGAGCGAGCAGCCCCTGCCACCACCCTGAGCCAGGATCCTCCTCCAAACACATCACATTTTCCCAGTTACACCAGTCCGCAGCATCCACAACCCCATCATCTGCAGCAGCCAGATCCCCGAGGGACACCCCACCACCAGGAGCTCCAGACAGACTCCTCTCCTCTCCCAGCCCACCGGGCTCTGCCGCTCCGCGCCTTGGGGCACACGAGCCCCAGGGGCTCAGCCATCAGCCCCCTCCAGCGCAGCCTCCTCTCACCCCTGGTCCCACAGGCACCACCAAACCCTCAGGGCTCCCCTGGCCCATCCTCACACTCCCAGTGTGTCCCACATCCACCACAGCCCACTGTAACGTCTCAGCCCATCCCCTTGGCCCCCAATTCCCATCCAACGTGCTTCCTCCTTTGGCCCACACCTCACGCTGCCGTCCTCAGCCCCTCTGCATTCACAGCACTGCAGCCCCATCCGTGTCCCCAAGGCTCCAGCCCACACCACCAAGCCCCTGGGACCTCTGACATCCCCTTTTCCCCTGGCCAGAGCCCCCGGGACCTCCAACATCCCCTTATCCCACAGCCCTCTCACCCACACGCTCCACCCCAAGAGTGGATTCAAAGCCCTCCAGCTGCCCCCCTGCCCTACAAACCCTCCTTCCCCCAGCCCACATCCCTAGCCCCTTGCCCCATGACCCCCAGTTCACACCCTCCAGCCCCACACCTCCTTCCTCCTCCACCCCCAACACAACCCCATAGCTCCAAACCCACTACCTGCCTCACACTCCTGCAATACC